CTCGTAACAACTCCAGCTAACAGGAATTTGCTAGCTTTTATAAAAGTCTGAGCGTAACATAAATATTAATTACGAGATAGACATGGGTGTATTATGAAATAGCCAACAAGTACAATAAAATACATGTTATGAAATCCACCGCCGCTGGAAAATTAACACGAACGATTTATGTATCCGTAATCGTCCTACTTCCGGTATTTCATTGGGAATGGACGATCGAGTTTTCCCTTTTTTCCATCGCAACTTAAAGACCGTTGGTTATCTATCAAGTTCCACCGGTGGAACGACAAGTGCACCAGGGAAAGTGCATAGCTGCATGAAGTTGCAACTTGTCTAGAGCTGCTGTACCGCGTTAATGGTGTACCGCACGGACGGGATGTTGGTTGGAAAGAGGAGGGAGTCTCCAAGGGAATCCTCTTATATAATCATCGTATTAAAGTCCTTTTCTTGACATAACTCAATAGACAGCGGGTATAAAATGGACGAAACTCATTTTTCTCAATCGATATTAACTACTCAATATTTTTTAACAACGTTCCTCATTTTTTTTTTGTTATTTAATGGTAGCTCGACGCTGTAGAAATTAACTGAAAAAGTTTCATATGAAATTAGATTAATTGACCTAATTTTCTCAAAGTAAGTCTGTATGTTCTCTGAGCTTTTAGCAACTTCGATAATCCAACAAGATTCAAAGGTCAGCTAAATAACAAACTGGACAGCTCGTTTGACAGGAAGGTATTACCAGCTCATTAATTGGCCACACATGCTTGTTAAAGTTTGCAATCGAGGATAGATGAATTCGCGTTATTTTCCATTTCTAGGATTCATACGCAAACTCCGGTTTAATTGCAGCAATTTCAATAATATAAAAACGACGATTATGAAAATGGTATAATTGCCTGCGCGTCTTTCGTTTAATATTCACAAGTTCCATCTTCATATATGCAAAGTAAAACGACGACGTAAACGGAATAATTACCGATTCAACGACGTTGACGAAAATTTCCAATACCTCTTGGACGATGATTTCCGTCCGGATTCTAAAACAAAGGAACGGTTTTCGTATTCGCTCGATTCCATGCACGATGCCGAACGCATGTTGATTGTTCACCAAAAACATCCGGAAGAGGGGAATCCTCGGATCTCCGATGGCCAATTCGATCCTCGGCCTTCGCGGATTGCAAAATCGTTGGTCTTTCTATGAAACGATCCAGTCATTTCAAATTACGCAAAATTCATTTTTACGCAAAATGAAACATCTACGTTATTCGCTTTAGATGCGTCACATAGTCTTATGCATCGCATGCATTCTTTTTCGTACAAATGCAAAAGTGAATATGTCAGGTGTTCGCAGATTAAATGAATCGTAATTATCCGAGACACATGCTGAGAGGATCTAGAAGAGTTCAGGGTTATCGACGTCGAGACTGTAAAATACCTAATCTTGTCGCGGTTGGGTTCAACGTTTTCAGTATAATTACTAATCGATGCAGTCGTTTCGGATACAAAGTGTGCAAGTAGCCACGTTTCCGGTAAGCGGCGGCGTGCATAGAATGATCACCCGGTCGAATACCCATCGAACAGCGAATTAAACGTCCGTCCTTGTTGTTAAATGTTAAGGATCCTTGAACGCACACGATACGGAAGAGGTTCCCGATGCTCGACTCGCCGGTGAATTCGAAATGGCTGGTTAAAACGCGTAATCACGCCGGTTGCAACGAGCCATTATTCGAAATGCATCGCGAAGGCCAATTCTCATTAAAAGTTCGTGTATCACGAATCAAGAAGGTTTCTGTACACTATTAATTTCTTCGCGATTGATAAATTATAATTAAACTGCGGCGAAATCATCAATTGTACTTTTATACTGTAAAATATAAATCAATTCTTTATGCATTTTTGTACAATTATAGTCTTTCACCAAATTTTCTATAATTACAATAAAAATCGTCGGTCTGTAACGTTTTGTGATATTTTTTATTTACTGTAAACTTGAACTACTCGCGTATCTGAAAAGTTAGTAAGGTAACTATTCCAATTTTGAAAAAGTGAGGAGGTTTTCTGTAAATTGATCAAGAATCAATGATTCCGGTTGTGAGTTCAATACACGCAAGTTATCTGCTTAGTGTATTACGTGAGAGGACGTTGCGCCACCCCGGCAAATTTTCTGAAAGAGATCGAAACGAGTTTTGCTTTCTCCTCGTGCGTTTTTAAACTTCCCGCCAGATTGTTGACTATTTTCGTATTTACCGGCTGGAGAAATGCAATCAGTATTTGAATTACCATGAAACACTTTTGGATTTACTGAATTTCATACTAATCATACTGATTCGAATTCGCTTTCTATGTGATGCTCCTTTTGCACGCTCGTAGAGACAGTAGAGTAAATTGAAAGATTTAAGGATGTATTGGCTATACAATCAATCCCAAAAGTTTATGCACTTTAGAAACGCATTTTTTAAAACGAAATCAGACGCCGGAAGAACATTGCTAATAATAAAC